CACCTCACCAACGGCCACGCCCACGCATCCACCAATAACCATCCCTACCACCTCACCAACGGCCACACCCACGCATCTGCCAATAACCACCTCTACAACCACAGCACCGTCCACGCCCACGTCTTCACCAGCGACCACCTCACCAACAGCCACACCCACGCATCCACCCTTAACCACCTCTACAACCACAGCAACGTCCACGCCCACTCCTTCAGCAGCGACCACCTCACCAACGGCCACCCCCACGCACCCACCAATAACCACCCGTACAAGCTCACCAACGTCCACGCCCACGCCTTCACCAGTGACCACCTCACCAACGGTCACGCCCACGCATCCACCAATAACCACCTCTACAACCTCACCAACGTCCACGCCCATGCCTTCACCAGTGACCACCTCTACCACCTCACCAACAGCCACGACCAGCCCTCCACCAACACCTCCCTCTACCACCTCACCAACGGCCACGCCCACGCATCCACCAATAACCATCCCTACCACCTCACCAACGTCCACGCCCACGCCTTCACCGGCAACCACCTCTACCACCTCACCAACATCCACGCCCATGCCTTCACCAGTGACCACCTCTACCACCTCACCAACGTCCACGCCCATGCATCCACCAATAACCACCCCTTCAACCTCACCAACGTCCATGCCCACACCTTCACCAGCGACCACCTCTACCACCTCACCAACGTCCACGCCCACGCCTTCACCAGCGACCATCTCTACCACCTCACCAACGGCCACGCCCACGCATCCACCAATAACCACCCCTACAACCTCACCAACGTCCACGCCCATGCCTTCACCAGCGACCACCTCTCCCACCTCACCAACGACCACCCCCACGCACCCACCAATAACCACCTCTACAACGTCACCAACGTCCACATCCACGCCTTCACTAGCGACCACGTCTACCACCTCACCAATGGCCACGCCCACGCGTCCACCAATAACCACCCCTACAACCTCCCCAACGTCCACGCCCATGCCTTCACCATCGACCACGTCTACCACCTCACCAACGACCACCCCCACGCACCCACCAATAACCACCTCTACAACCTCACCAACGTCCACGCCCACGCCTTCACCAGCGACCAGCTCTACCACCTCTCCAACGGCAACGCCCACTCCTCCACCAATGACCACGTCTGTCACCTCACCAACGGCCACCTCTACCACCTCAGCAACAGTCACGCCTATTCCTACACCAACACCCACTATCGTCCCCACAGGTCGGATCTCCACAGCGCCTCCAGGTAAACAGACATCTGGTTCTTCCTCTCCCAGGAGCATCCACTCTCCTGCCAGGGAACTCTGGTCTGGGTGCCACCTTGTGCCATGGGCCCCTGCTCTGCCCAGTGAGGGCCGATTCCCAGGAATACTCATGGCAGTCTCTGGGTGCCTTCTCTTCCTGCTGAGCGCCATCACTCTGTGTTCAGGGAGCCACTGACCACCGGCCTGTGTGTGGATAGCAGAGCCCAAAGGCAGCCCCCTCAGCACACCACTCTGTGGTGCAGCCACGTGGACAAAACCCATCCCGTGGGGAGACCCCCAGTGTGTGGGGCCAGGCTGTGTGGGGCAGAGGCTGCCAGTGAGGTTCCCCGAGAGACCCTTGCTTCCCTTCCCACTTCTATCTGTGCCTCCCTACTCAGCACCTCTGGGACCTCTCTGGCCTGCCACAGGTGGCCTTACCAGGCAGCTGGTCCAGCCTCTCTGAGGTGGACTGTTATGCTGTGGCAAATCCCCCTCCAGCCACCTCTTGCTGGCAGTAGAGTTTGCCAGCAAGCTGTGTACTGCCTGGAGCACCAGCTCCCCCATGGGTCTCCTTGTCACACTTGCCATGTACTGTGACTGCAGCCCCGCAGCGCCACCTTCTTTGTGACTACCGGAGCCCGGGAAGTGGACATGAGGCCTTCCCACCTCACTGCTCACTCCCACTCCTGACCGCCTTCCTCACAGGCACGACCACCTCTTCCAAGACTCCCCCAAGCAGTGGGACCACACCTACCATGCCCGAGACCACCAGCACCTCGGCCTCCAGGGTGCCCACCCCCACGCTGAGCCCGCTTGTCTCTCCCAGCATCAGCATGAGCACAGGCCAGCGGCTCACCACCGTTAGTTTAGTCATATGCTGCGTCCTGAATGACACATACTACGGCCCAGGTAACATGCCGTGCACTTCTGAAGATGCTTAGGATCAGGGCTAAGGTCCAACTTGGCAGCTTGCTTGGGAAGCTGGATGCCGGGTGGGGGTGGACATCTCCGGGGCCAGCCCAGCTTGCTGGAAACATGAGTTGGGGACCAGGGTTCACCTGTGGTCCAGGGGCTAAGTGAGGTGGGGACGCCCACGTGCCCGAAATAGGGCATGGTGGGCTTCCCTCTGGGGGCCTCTGTGGGAACTTGCTTCTGGATGGTGTTGGGATGGGGTCTCTCCCTGGGCAGGTGAGCTGGTGTACAATGGAACATTTGGAGACACCTGCTATTACGTGAACTGCTCAGTGAACTGCACCTTCGAGTTCCACAACTCATCCTGCCCATCAACACCCTCCCCAACACCCAGCGCACCAACGCCCAGCTCGCCCTCCACACCGACACACATCTCTCCAGCCACCACCAAGCCCCCTGCATGCCCAGACTTTGATCCTCCCAGACAGGTCAGTGGGCCATGGTGGCTTTGTCCCCTCGGCACAAAGTGCATCCTGTCCAGGCGTTCAGGGACCAGGTGCCACCTTTCTGGTGGTCATCCAAGATGCTCCTCTTGCCGCACTCTGCGCCGTGTCCAGCAGGGCTGAGGCTTCCAACACCCTCCCAGGCGCAGTGTCTGCCGAGCCCTGCCCCTCTCTCTGTGCCCAAGCTTGCCATAGTGAGTGGCCAGTGAAGACAGGCCCTTCCCTCTGCCTCCCGGGCAGGACTCTGGGCACTCACGCCGAGGCCTCCTGAGCACGGCCCACCCCCTCCTTGCGGGCTGTGGTGTGGCGGGTCACACTGACCGCCCTTCACCCTCTGCCCACAGGAGAACGAGACCTGGTCGCTGTGTGACTGCATCATCGCCACTTGCAAGCACAACAACACCGTGGAGATCGAGGAGGTGAAGTGCGAGCCCCCGCCCATGCCCACCTGCTCCAACGACCTCAAGCCAGTGCAAGTCATGGACCCGGATGGCTGCTGCTGGCACTGGGAGTGTGACTGTACGTGCTGCGGCCACCCCCCTTCTCTGTGGGTGGGGGCGCAGGGCCGGCGTCTGGGGAGTGGAAGGGCTGAGACTCCACCGGCACAGCCCCAGTGGCCGAGTGCCAGCTGAGGCCCAGGAACAGTCCAAGGGACTTGTCATGCCACCTTGGACAGGGGGCTTGGGCAAGTGGAAGGCTTGCATGGTGGGGCAACAAGGGTGCTTCTGAGGCTGAGAGGGACAGGCTGGGTTGGAACCCTGGATCTCTGGCTCCTAAGCCAGGCCCCGTTCTACAGAATGGGCGCCACGAGCAGCACCGGATCCACCGAGCTCGTATGCGCCACGTGCCCGAGCCCAGGAGCAGGCTTTTCGGGACCCTGGTTCCTGTTGCTCTTCCAGCCTGTCCCGTGAATCCTGACAGAGTCCTGGTCCCTGCCCCCCACCCTGGCCTGGGGCTGTGACCAGCTCCTTGGTGCCAGCTCACCAAGCTTCTTCTGCAGGCTACTGCACTGGCTGGGGGGACCCACACTTCGTCACCTTCGATGGGCTCTACTACAGCTACCAGGGTAACTGCACCTATGTGCTGGTGGAGGAGGTCACCCCCACCGTGGACAACTTTGGAGTCTATATTGACAACTACCACTGTGATGTCAACGACAAAGTGTCCTGTCCCCGCACAATCATCGTGCGCCATGAGACCCAGGAGGTGCTGATCAAGACCATGCACATGACGCCCATGGAGGTACAGGTACGCGAGGCTGCAGTCACCGGCGTCCTCGGTGGAGCATGCCGATGCGGGCCCTCTCACATGGTGGTTCCCCATGCGACAGAGGACTTGGAACTAGGGGCCCAAGTGCAGCCTCCCCCAGAGCCACGCTGGAAAAGTGGGAGAGGGCGGGAGCCTCACTCGGGGACACACCCTGTTCCCATGGGTTTTCCAAGTGTGTTCAGGGACATCCCTCTGAGCCCAGCCAGTCATGCCCCCTCCCTGAGGACAGGGGAAGGTGGGCAGGGGCTCTGCACATACCCAGCTGAGTCCTCCTCACCTGCATGGAGGCCTGGGGAGCCCTACCCCCTGCAGGGGGCTCCCAGGAGCACTTTCTCTGGTTTACCCTGGGACCAGCTGGGACAAGGGTCTGGCTTTGCACAATGGAAAGAAAGCAAAAATGGGGGTGGGGGAGGGGCAGGGGCATTGCCAGAGACCCCCCACTGCATGTGTAGGTCTAGCAGGTGGGGGAGGGGCGGCCCCAGGTGCTCTTCCACGATGGGGCTCAGGTGGCTTGGCCAGAAACACAGCGCTCCTGGAGAGGATGGGGCATGCCAGTGCAGGGCCAGCTCTAGCCAGGTGGCTGCCAGCTCCTCCCCGAAGGCTCTCCCTGACCCCAGGTGTATCGGCCACAGGTGCAGGTCAACAGCCAGACGGTGGCACTGCCCTACGAGAAGTATGGGCTGCAGGTGTACGAATCGGGCATCAACTACGTGGTGGACATCCCCGAGCTGGGCGCCCTCATCTCCTACAATGGCCTGTCCTTCTCCATCAGGCTGCCCTACCACCTGTTTGGCAACAACACCAAGGGCCAGTGTGGTGAGCCCTGCAGCCCCACCAGCACCCGCGCCCTACCCCGGGGGGGTGGCTGGGCCAGGGCGGAGTGAGTGCCACCAGCCCAGCTGGGGGTCTCCTGCTCCTCTGCTTGGGGCCGCCTGTGGCGGGGGGCCCTGCAGGGAGCCAGTCAGAGGTGGCTTGGCCTAGTCTACGCCCTCGGCCCTGGTCTGCCAGATGCCAGGGGATCTGGGCTGGAGAGGGGAGGGATCTGAGGGGCTGCCCTGTGTGCTGGGTGACGTCACCTGGTGCTGGTTCAGCGTGGCCCTTCTTGCGGAGGCAGGCACCTGCACCAACACCACTGTGGACGACTGCATGCTGCCCAGTGGGGAGGTCATCTCCAACTGCGAGGTCGCAGCTGACCAGTGGGTGGTGAACGACCCCTCCAAGCCACACTGTACATACAACAGTTTCACAACCCAGCGCCCTGTCCCCACGAAGCCAGGGAGCAACAAGACCTGCACCGAGTCTCTTCTCTGCCAGCTCATCAAGGACAGGTGACCCTGACCCTAGGCCTGCCTGTGGCCTTGGCCACTAGTGAGTTACAGGGCCTCAGGAAGCAGCCGCGCTGCCCTCCCAGCCCCTACAAGGTCTACAAAGAGGCGGCGGCTCCTGTAGAGTGTGGCACTAGGAAGGCGGGAGGTCATGACACCACGGGCAGGTGCCAGGTGCCAAAGGGGCCCAGGAGCTGGGCTTCGGTATTCACAGGACCAAGCTGCCATGTTAGACTTCCCCGTGCCTTTTGTCTTTTTCTTTCTTTCTTTTTTTTTTTAAAGATGACCGGTAAGGGGATCTTAACCCTTGACTTGGTGTTGTCAGCACCACGCTCTCCCGAGTGAGCCAAGGGCTGGCCCTCCCTGTGCCTTTTTTGACCCCCAAAACTCTCCCGCCTCTCAGGATGGTGCAGGGTCAGCTGAATTTGAGGCCCAGGGTAGACCAGTGGGCCCAAGACAGGGTGTGCACCCAGGGCTCATACTGGGAAGGCAGGTTTGGGCTTACATAGGGCAGTGGTGGGGGCTCTCCCAAAGCTGGGAGCCGCAGGGAGGGAGTGCCCGGTCCCCCAATGTGTGTGCGTCGAGTAGAAGCTGGGTGGCTCTCTACCAGGGCTTCTGGAAGGGATCCTGGCACCAGGTGGCCAGGTAGCCGAGCAGCTTCCATCTCTGGGAGCCACAACAGAGTGCCGCATGCTGGAGCCTCAGTGCCCAGCCTCCTTCCCCAAGGCCGGCCCTGCCCGCTACAGTCAGCTTCGGGCACTGTCTGGTGGTGCATGTGCTGGGGAGGGTGGGGGCGGCAGTGCTGAGCACCTCAGCGGAGTGTGACCATGACCCATCCCCACAGCCTGTTCGCCCAGTGCCATGCCCTCGTGCCCCCCCAGCGCTACTACGATGCCTGCGTGTTCGACAGCTGCTTCGTGCCCGACTCGGGCATGGAGTGTGCCAGTCTGCAGACCTACGCGGCCCTGTGTGCACAGCAGGGCATCTGCATCGACTGGAGGAAACACACCCAGGGGACCTGCTGTAAGTACCCTATCCCTGTCCCTGCCCTTGTGCTGGGGGCCTGTGGGCCAGGGCGTCTCCAGGCTCTGCCGGGGGGCTGGGCACTGTCACTCAAGGGCAACATGGGCCTGGCCCTCCTGACCTGGCCCTTCTGATTCCCACAGCTGTGACGTGCCCGTCTCACAGGGAGTACAAGGCCTGTGGCCCTGCACAGGAATCCACCTGCAAGTCCACGTACGTCACATTTGCTAGGACACGGGCTCGCCCCTCTGGGCATGCACCTGGGTGGCACTGTCTGGGCTTGGTGGTCCTGCAAGCCCACTCCCAGCTGATGATGCCCTTCTGTCCCCAGTTCCTCTCAGCAGAATAGCACGGGCCTGGTGGAGGGCTGCTTCTGTCCTGAGGGCACCATGAACTACGCCCCCGGCTTCGATGTGTGCGTGAAGACCTGCGGTATGTCCCCCTCTCGCGTGGCTCCCTCCTGCCTCCTCCTCGGGGACCACAGAGGCGGTGGCCACCTGCCGCACCAGGACTCTGCTAACAGGACGTGTCTTTTCCTCCTCCCCAGGCTGCGTGGGACCCGACAATGTGCCCAGAGAGGTGGGCCCTCCCGCTTGGTGCTGGGGAATGGGTGGGATGGAAACGAGGACTTGGGAGCCTCCAAGGTGGGGAAGTGAACCCTTGAAGTCCCGGAAGCCGAGCTAGCAGGGGCCTCCACCCACCCACCCGCCTGTCCGTCCATCCACGCCACCCACCCGTGGTCGCAAAATGATCTGCCTAAACTTGAGGTGACGTCTTGGCCACCAGAGCTGTCTGTGTCTCCTGCGTGAGGTCACAGCTATGGGTTGACTCCCTTGTTCCATGCTGCATGTGCCCAACAGACACCAGCAGTGCACCTCCCACATGCCCCTGTGCTGGCAGAGGCTGGTGCACTGGTCGTGGCTCTGTGATGTTAGCAACCTGGTGCCCTGAATGGGCAGCTGCTGTCCTGTGCCAGGACCTGCCCCAAGTGCTCGGAGGTGGGGGGCATGTGGCTGGCACGGGACCCCTCAGCGGGCTGCCAGCTGCAGATGCGCCACGGTGCAGCCCTGGCGAGGCCGGCGGCCAGCGCCTCTCCTCCCGGCTCAACTCCTCCTCCCTACAGTTCGGGGAGAGCTTTGAGTTCGACTGCAAGGACTGCACCTGCCTGGAGGGTGGAAGCGGCATCGTCTGCCAGACCAAGAATTGTGACCAGAAGTCCCTCACCCAGTGCGAGGAGGATGGCACCTACCTCGCCACGGAGGTCAATCCGGCCAATCCCTGCTGCAACATCACCTTGTGTAGTAAGTCCGCCCCCCCTGGAGGGACTGAGACTGGGCCCCTGGGGACCGCGTACCCTCCTCGGCGAGTGAGGGAACAGTGGCTGGGGGCCTGCTGGAGGCTGGGGGCTGAGATGTGCCCACCCGAGGGGGTGTTGCAGGCGGCTGCTGGCCCAGGGCCCGCATCCCTGCTGTAGGGGCCAGCCCAGGTGGGCGGGGGGTCCCACAGAAGCCC